AAAAGAAACCAGCTCTTAGTCTCATTGAGACCTCTTGGTAGGAAATTATTTCATTTTTCATGTGCTGCTCTCAAAATTCTTTGTCTTTGGATCTGGAAAGCTTCATTTTGTTACGTCTCACTGAATTTCTCTTGAAGCCTAGCCTTTATGGGGTTCGATGAGCTTCTTGTATGAAAATCTCGTATTTTATGATATTTGGGGAGTTTTCTACCATTAATACTTGAAAAATTCCCTCTGTACATTTTTTTCTCTCTTCCTCTTCTGGGATTCCTAATATGCATATATTATTCTTCTTGATGGTGTCCCACATAATCCATAGGTTTTGTTTTTCTTCAATCTTTTTCTTTTTGTTCCTCATAGAGAGTGATATCAAGGGTTTTGTCCTCTATTTTGCTGATTCTTCTATTGTTTCAATTCTAATTTTGCACCCTCCCATTGAGTTGTTTATTTCTCATTTTATTGTTAAGCTTCTGAATTTCTAGGGTTTTTTTTAATCAATTCTATTTCTTTATTGAGTTTGTTGTTTTGTTTATGTATTGTTTTCCTGAATTCTTCTAGAGTTTTTTTCCATATTTTCTTTGATCTCCTTGAGGAGCCTTGATACTAACTTTTTGAAGTCTTTGTCAGGTAGTTCCATGTCAGTTCTTTCTCAGAGAGGTTTTCTGCCTCTTTATTTTGTTCAATTGCTTGAGCCATTTTTCCTGTTTCTTCATATGATTTTTAATTTACCGCTGTCTTTGAGGAATTAAGGTTTCATTTTAATTATTTCATATTTTTCTTTACTGATTGTAAGTTTGTCTTTATTTTTGTTTTGAATTGGTATATCAGGAGCTTAGCTGCTTCTCTTTCTGTTTAGATTATCTACTTTACTTTGTATTATTTTAATTATTGATGTTTTGTGATACTGTTCTATGTATTACTTTGGTGCTGCCAATTGGCTAGGTGCAATTTCCTCTCACTTCTGGCTATCGTGGGTGGCCCACATATGGGGGTCCTCTGTTGTTAGGCATGTATGTCTTCCCTTAGAGGACTGGGTGGAAGTGTGAGATCAAGACCATTCCCCATTGTGAGTCGCAAGGTGTCGGGTGGTCAGGATCCTTCCGCAGTGCTTGAAGGACAGCTCGGTCCCTCCGTGTTTATGCAAACATGTAGTGTGGCCCCTGGAGAGTGGAGTGGGTTGTCCATGTAGTCAGAAGAAGGCAGCACTACCCAGCTAGGAGAGGCAAGCCTTCTGAGCAGGCACAGATGGTGTCACTATGGGTGGAGCAGGGTAGGGGACCTCTGTGCATGCATGAACAGCTTGCAGGCATGCATGGGGTGAGGAAAGGATGTTGCAGTGCCCATATGCTTGCACGGGCTGCACACGGGGACAAGAGGGGCTGGATCAGGGCCTGTAAGCATTGTGTGGAGGGCCCTTGGGACAATAGGAAAGAGGGGTGGAGCGAAGCCTGCCCACATATGAGTAAAAGGCTTGCACAGCAGAGGAGAGGGGGGTAGAGTGAAGCCAAGAGGTGAGGTGGGGCAGAGAAGGGCCGGTATGAATAGGAGGGGAGAGGAGTGTCTGCATGGGCCAGTTCTCGGGAGCTTCTAGCTATTACTCTGCAGGTTGACTATTCAATAATCATCTCTCATCCAAATGGGAGGGTGTTTCTAATGACAAGCAGCCCCTGCACTAATTCTTAGCTTCCTCCATCCTCTGCACTCGCCAGAGGGACCAGAACTCACATCCACCCTCCTGTACTTTCCCTTTGCTCCTCCAACAATGTGAACTTCCTGTTTTTTCTGTCTCCTACACTTAGACTCTGACACTTCAGTACACCTCACTTTGCTGCAGTAGCACTTCTCTCTGGTTCCCTTGATTTAAATCTATGCAACTCCCGCACTTCTCCACTTCCAGAATGCCCTATCCTAGGATGAATCCTACCCACCTTGTTTTTTCTCTCCAGGGTTGTTTACACAGTATCCCTGTCACCAGCTGTACTCTCCATAAGGTTGCTTTCCTGGGCTCCTCATCCCAGAATGTTGCTTGCTGCTGTCCCAAAATGGTCATGCTGTGCTGGACCAGCAGAGAGGGGGCGGATGATCTTCAAATCTCTACTTTGCTGCTGATTTTGATCTATTTCTCCTTCCAGTTGGTGCTCAGTCTTTTACATCAAGTCTCCATTTGATGTTAAGGGATTCAAGTCATTATTTGTGTGTGATTTACTTAGTTTCTTGAGACTTTGTTATAGGGGATCATTATGGTGCATCTATCTAAGTCGCCGTCTGAATTGGAACTCCTGCCCCACATCTTTTCCAATTTTAAACCACAAAGTATCCCCTTGTTCTGTTTGAACAACAGCCTCTTGATCCATGCACATGTTCTGCAGGAGCACAGTAAACTGTTCTGAAATACCTGTTCTTCACAATGTTATCCATAATTTGTTATGATCCACACAGTTGAATGCCTTTGCATAGGTACTAAAACATAGGTAAACACCTTTCTGGTATTCTCTGCTTTTGGCCAAGATCCATCTGACGTCAGCAATGAAATCCTTTCTTCCACGTCCTTTTCTGAATCTGGCTTCAATTTATGACAGTTCCCTGTTGAAGTATGGCTGCAGTCGTTTTTTAAATTATCTTCAGCAAAATTTTGTTAGCATGTGATATTAATGATATTGTTTGATAATTTCCAAATTCTGTTTCATCATCTTTCTTTGGAATGCACACAAATGTGGATCTCTTCCAGTTCGATAGCCAAGTAGATGTCTTCCAAATTTCTTCACATAGATGAGTTACCACTTCCAGTGTTGCATGTTTTGTGTTGCATACCCACTTGCAGTGTTTGTTGAAGCACCTCAACTGGTATTCCATTAATTCCTGGAGCCTTGTGTTTTGCCAGTGCCTTCGGTACAGCCTGTATTTCCTCCATCAGTACCATCGGTTCTTGATTGTATGCTACTTCCTAAAATGGTTGAACATCGACCAATTCTTTTTGGTACAGTGACGGTGTATTCCTTCCATCTTCTGCGTCATTCAATTTTTTGCCCAAAAATTCATCAAGACTAAACCTAGCTGATCATACTCCCACTTTCCCTTCATACTCTGGGGTTGGCAGATAGCAATAAGTACCAAATTAACCAAAAAATTTGTCGACACTCCTGATAAAAATACAAATTTGGAAATAGGGTGAGTATGGACATGTGTTATAGTAACAATAGTATATTTCCATCAACTGGCAACACATAATAATAAAAATACATGTTAAAAGAGTAGATAAATTTAGCACGTTGGCTTTCAAAGTCAACAGAAGGTTTAAACTATCAAATTATCCTATAGAAAATATTAACTGACCTCTATGACAAAATTCCTGACTTTACATTCATTTGTTTATATTACCTAAGCCAAAAACAACTTTCTTCATATTTATTTTGCTTGTTGGTTTCCACTCCAAAGTTGTAACAAAGACTATGAAGATATTCTACCTGCAATATATATAAAAAAGTGAGTCAGATTCATGATTTCCTTAAAGTTAAATAAAAAAGTCTATATAACAACTTAGAGTCTTTAAGACATACCTTAAGTCTTCTGCACATCAAATAACCCACCCATCCTTCTCAAAACCTCTCAATTTATATAAATAGGAGTTAAAAAACATTCAGGTTGGGACATTCATTATATATGGAAAGTAGTACAGTACATTAATAATATATAACTTGAAAGGTTCTTTGTAGCAGAAATAAGAAACCCAATCAAAATGGCAGGCTAAAACACTGCTGTAAGTTTTCAGATCCAGTAAAAGCCGTTAGAGCAGGGAGTATTAAAAAAAAGAAAAAAGAATTACCATTGAGAGAGAAAAATGAATGATTTTTTTTCAAAATTAAGACAACTTTTTAAAACTCCTAAAGTTCTGAAATTTGTCCAAAGCACTATCCAGCAGTGATAAGTCTAACTTAGAAATAATTAGTTTAATTGACCCTCTTTAACAACAACAACCTTTTTCTTTACATAAATTACCAGTGAGATGAAAAGTAGGAACAAGCATGTGAATGTTGCCATAGAAAAATACTCTTAAGAGTTAGCATCTCAGTCCTTGTATCCATACCATGTTTTACAGAAATTTTACCTCTTGATATAATGGGCAATGGAATAACAGAAAAAAATTTTGAATTCTAATAATTTATCCTAAGTATTTATAGAAATCATCTATCCAGAATCTGATCATACCCATGAGTTCAAGCTTGTTAAAAAAAAAAAAAAAGGAGCAAGGGAGAATGAAGAAAACAAGATATAAGGGAAAGATTAATCCAAAGGACTAATGGACCACAACTACCATGGCCTCCACCAGACTGAATCCAGGACAATTAGATGGTGCCCGGCTACCACCACTGACTGCTCTGACAAGGATCACAACAGAGGGTCCCAGACAGAGCTGGAGAAAAATGTAGAACAAAATTCTAACTCACTAAACAAAACCAGACTTACTGGTCTGACAGAGACTGGAGAAAACCTGAGAATATAGCCCCCAGACACCTTTTAAACTCAATACTGAAGTCAATCTCGAGGTTCACACTTCAGCCAAAGATTAGAAAAGCCCATAAAACAAAATGAGACTAAATAAGAACATCACCCCGGGGACAAGGACAAGAAGGCAAGAGGGGACAGAAAAGCTGGTAATGGGGAACCCAAGGTCGAGAAGGGGAGTGTTGACACATCGTTGAGTTGGCAACCAATGTCACAAAACAATATGTGTATTAATTGTTTAATGAGAAACTAATTTGCTCTGTAAATCTTCATCTAAAGCACAATAATAAAATGAAATAAAGCTAACGATAGGAGAAAAAAACTACTTCACCAGATAAAAGATATAAATATGAAAAAGGAGTCTTTTATAGTTTTTTTAATTACTTAATAATGTCTTGACTTGCTCTCTGTTTGAAAGTTCTATACCTACACCAATTATTCCCTTTTATTATTTTGATGTTGTTATTGTTTACAGATTTACATCTCTCTATCTCTATTGTAAATTTTTTAGTTTTGTGTTGTCCTTGAGAGTTCATTATCTAGGTTGGTATCTGACTGATATGAGTTTTATGTGCTAGATTCAGGTTGTTGTCTGATGTTGTTGGTTCTCTAATTGAAGGACTCCTTTTAATAATTCTTGTAAGTTTGGTTTGATTTTTACATATTCCCTTAATTTCTGTTTATCTGGAACTGTCCGAATTTCACTATCATATTTAAGAGAGAGTTTTGCAGGATATATTATACTTGGTTGGCAATTTTTTTCTTTCAAGATTTTGTATGTGTCATCCTATTGCCTTCTTGCCTGCATGTTTTCTGCCCAGTAATCAGAGCTTAGTGTTATTGTTTCCACTCTGTATGTGACTTTTCGTTTTTCTCAAGTTGCTCTCAGATTCATTCTTTGTCTTTGGTTTTAACAAGTGTGAGGATGATATATCTTAGTGTTTTTCTTTTGGGATCAATCCTATATGGGGTTAGGTGAGCTTCTTGGATAGTTGGCTTTTTGTCTTTCATAATATTAGGGAAGTTTTCTGTCAGCAAATCTTCAAAGATCCTCTCCGTGTTTTCCATTTTCTCCCCCTTTCTGGATTGCATGCAAATCTTTGCTTTTGATAGTATCCCACATCATTTTCAGGGTTTCTTCATTTTTCTTCATTCTTTCATTTTTCCTTAAAGTAGTATCCAAGAATTTGTCTACAATCTCACTGATCCTGTCTTCCACTGTTTCAAATTTGCTCCTAAAATCTTCTATTGTACTATCCATTTCTGAAATCTTGCTGTTTATCTTTTGGATTTCTAATTGCTGTTTTTGTATGATTTCTAGTTGTTTATTTATTTTGACATTTTGTTCCTGTATTATCTTCCTGTTTTCTTCAATTGTTTTGTCTGACTTTTCCATGATTTTGCCTGCATTTTTCATGATTATGTGTGTTTTTTCCTTATTTTTGTCTGCATTTTCCTTCATCTGTTGGATGATGCCCCTGCTACACTGTCCCTTGAAGTGTTTGGTTGTGTTCAGGAAACTTTTTAGCTTTTGGTTTAGCCCAGTGGTGCTGACTTCCCCTGCAGTGTGTGTTGTCCTCCCCTTCACCTAAGATAATTCTTGTCTACTATCTAGTTAGTGAATTCCCCTCTCCCTCCTTCCCCACCTTCATAGCCATCAAAGAATGTTTTCTTCTGTGTTTAAACCATTTCTTCTGTTCCTATAATAGTGGTCTCATACAATATTTGTCTCTTTGCAATTGACTAATTTCACTAAGCATAATGCCTTCCAGATTCATCCATGTTATGAGACGTTTCACAGATTCATCCTTGTTCTTTATCATTGCGTAGTATTCCATTGTGTGAATATAGCATAATTTGTTTATCCATTCGTCCGTTGAGGGGTACCTAGGTTGTTTCCATCTTTTTGCTATTGTGAACAGTGCTGCAATGAACATGGGTGTGCATACATCTATTCGTGTGACAGCTCTTGTTTCTCTAGGATATATTCCAAGGAGTGGGACTGCTGGATCTTATGGTACTTCTATTTCTAGCTTTTTCAGGAAGCACCAAATTGATTTACAAACTGGATGTACCATTTTACATTCCCACCAGCAGTGTATAAGTGTTCCAGTCTCTCCACAACCTCTCTGACATTTATTATTTTCTGTTTTTTGGATTAATGCTAGCCTTGTTTGGGTGAGATGGCATCTCATTGTAGTTTTGATTTGCATTTCTCTAATGCCTAATGATCATGAACATTTCCTCATGTCTGTTAGCTGCCTGAATGTGTTCTTTGGTGAAGTGCTTGTTCATATCCTTTTTTATATGTTTTGATATTGTCTGCTGTCTCCAAGACATTCGGGAATTATTTTCTTCCTTTATTGATTGTAGATTTGATTGTTTTGTCCTGCTTTTTTGTTTTATGTGGTTACGTCTGGGCAGGTGGGCTCAGTGTGTTTTGTTCTTGCTTGCCTGTGGGCACGATACCTCTCACCACCTTGTCTAGGTAGGCAAGGCTGGTTACTCAGCTATGGGGCAGCAGGATGGGTACAGTGAGGGTGGAGGGGTGGGGATGAGTAGTTTGTGGCACCAAGGGCAATGGGGTGGCGCTGGAGGGCAGTGCAGGGCAAGGTCTGAGGTACTGCATTGATACTGCTCAGGGATGTGGCACTTGGTGCATGGTGCAGATAAGAGGGAAAGGAAAGGATGTGATGTGCAGAGCTAACTGGGTGGGTGAAAGAAGAGAAAGAGACAAAGGCAAAAATAGTAAAAAAAAAGGGCAAAAAATGAAGTTAATAAAAGAAAAATGTAAATAAAATGGTGCAGTAGAATTTGAAGGGTAGGGGTGAGGCAGACCTGGTGAAGTCCTGTGTTGGTAGCTCTCTAGCTGAGTGGTGTGACTCAGCCAGTTGAGAAGCACTGTGTGTGACACTCGGGGCTAGATGGGAGGAAGAAAGGAAAGGAAAGAGGGGAAAGAGAAAAAAGAAATCAACAATCAAACAAATAAAATAAAAAATAATAATAACATTTTTAAAATACGGCGGTGGGGGCTCCAGGTGCTGGGGGCGGGGTGGATTTGGGGTGGCGGCAAGTTGATGTCTCTCTCACCAGGTGGCACAGCACAGCCTGTCAGGAAGTGGCAGATGAGCTCAGGTTCTAGTTGGGAGCGAGAAGGAAAAGGAGAAGGCGAAAGATAAAGAAAAATTAAAAGTATGGTGCTGAGGGAGCTGGCCTATGGGGGTGGCACAGATCCCGAGAGGCCATGTTCCAGAGGCTCTCCAGCAGAGTGGTACAGCACAGCCCACCAAGAAGTTAAGGCAGACCCATGGGGCTGGGGAATGGGAGAAAGGAAAGGGAGAGAGAGAGAAGAAACAATAACAACAACAAAAACAAACTAACCAACAACAAATAAAAAAATAAAATGGGGCTAAGGGAGCTGGTTGGTGATGGCAGCACAGATCCAGGGAGGCCACATGCATTGACTCTCCAAATGAGCTGTGCAGCACAGGTCATCCAGAAGGGGCAGGGGCAGTGCACAGGGCTGGATGTGTTGGAGAAAGGAAAGGAGAGAGAGAGAGAAGAAACAGAAAAATAGAAGAAAAGAAAAAGAAAAAAAAACAAAGCGAAGAAACGAAAAAAATCACAGCCTGTCAAAAAAGAGAGGGGATGGCACATGGGGCTAGTTGGGCAAGAGAAAGGAAAGGAAGGGAGGGACAGAGAGAAACAACAACAGAAAAGCCAAAAAAAAAATTAAAAAACAAACAAACAAAAATATAAACAACAACAACAAAAAATAATGGCACTGAAGGTGCCAGCTGATGGGAGCGAGGCAGACCCTGGTGGCAGTGAACTAGTGTCTCTCCAGCTGAGCAACCGTGGACTGTTGGCTAGTGGTGGAGGCCTCATACAAGGAAGAAGTGTGTGGGGTGGGAAAACATGTATCCCTGGTTACCGCATGTTCTGTCTCCTGTTGGGAGTT